TGACGTTTGCAAGTTGGTAGAGAAATTTTACCCTCAAGTTATGGAGTTAATTATTCTCAGTTCATCGTTATTCTCTCTCAAATTATGATTGGCCTCCCGCACCAACAAATCCTGGCTCCGCCCCTTACTTTTCATCTGTCCCTTGACACACCCTCTTATGCAGACTATACTTTTTACACAAGATTTGACAGAGGAGCAGATACTCATATTGGCATATCTCCTTTAATCTGTAATAATTTATTTTGAATCATCCAGCACCGTCATAGTAGAAGTCACAACGGTTGATTGGCTTTTAGTACAACTGCAAAGTATTATATAGCCTGCAAACACACATCAGAAATTAGACCAAATTCAGAAAACTATGCATCTCAAATCCTCTTACAATGAATATGAATTTGGTTGAACCTTGCCAGCTCTAGAGTACCCCTACATAGTCATTCTCCTCATCAGCAAAAAATCTTCTTTCTTCACCAACAGAAACATACAAAGAGGATTACGTGAAAAATAAAACCAACTGAAGCTCCAAAAGGATATGCATTAGACACAGAACAAGAAGACATACCCGGGAAGAAAAGAAATGAAAGTAGAGCAGTAATAGAATGTCGGAAACACATGCCAATTTGCAGACATAACTGTGGCTGAAAAACCACGCGGATTTCTCCCGGGTTTTCTTTGCCGGCGACAGCGCTGACGCCACTATTGCACACAACATGATGGTGAGAGCCGCCGGTGCGGGGATGATACTGCTGCATCCATTTTTCTGATAGATTCTGGGAATACATTTGTCCCGACATAATCGGTCCGGAGGATCCATTATTTAATCCAGCAAGCTCGTTTCTTTCATCAATCAACTCTATTCTTCAATATTTTGAGAAGGAGGTATGATGAAAAGACACAAATATCCCTTCTCAAACGGAGCATCTATCGGGAAGAGTAATGTCATCGTGAGTGTCCATAAATTGTCTGCTTTTTTGTATGGAGGACCAAAATTGTCAGTGTCACTATAAGTCTAGGACCAAAAATATCTTTTACTCTAAATTATAACAAATATTCTCGTCATTCATAGATATTTTGTTGAAGTTGACATACTAATAAGTAACTATTTAACTTTTATAATATAATTAATAATTATAATAAATGTTGTCTGAATTGAAGTAATCGTCTTACTTAGATATTTTGTCGAAGTTGGCCAAGCAAGTAATTATTTAAATTGTATAATATAATAAATATTTTCCAAATTTATTGTATTGTGGTAAATATTATTTAATTTCTATCCCACTTAATCCTAATAATTTCCTTTTTTAGCTTGTCTCAAAATAATGTTTACAGGATTAATATAAGGCTATTGTTATCTTTCCCTCCTAATTTTACTTCCTAATGTTTACATCGTCATAGTAAAATTATATTCTTTTTATTTATTGGATATTGAAAATTAGTTGACCCAACCTAGCATTAATAAATTATTCTAAACCCTCCAACACCCTTGTGATTTTACTTCTTAATGTTTGTGTCATGATGCGCTATCATGAAATTTTGTTTATTTCTTGGCTATAGTGAATTCTTCGAATCTTTCCAACATCCTCTTGGTTAAACTTGTCGCATAAGGTCTTTCTAAGACAATAACTCTCTTATGTGGTTTGGAGACTATTAGACATGAACAAATTTTACCCAATGCACACTATCAGTTAGTGGTTGTCGGTTTCTCTCGTCAATTAAAAAATGAATCTACTTATTAAGTAAACATAAAATGAATTAATCAAATATTGCAACGTAGTAAATGCATGTAGTTGTTGGATTGGTCTAAATGTACTCTTTTTTTTTTTTTGGTACACCATGAGGTAGTCCGGGTCTTTCTCTGTCAGTTTAACAGTCCAGGTCCACCCGACTAATCCCGTTCGCTCCGGGAGGCACATGAGCTGGCACAAAGGGAATCGTCACTTGTAGAAATCGAACCCGGGTTATCCTGAAATTCTCCCCTACAAAAAGAGCTTATCTTTAGTTATCACCTAGCCTCCATCGATCCTTTCAAAGTCTTTTAGTATCTGAGGCTGCATAGTAGAAGGTTTGTGAGTCTCATAAAAGACTTTCGACTAAGTGCATCTGCAACCACATTAGCTTCTTTAATTAACTCTAACCAACGCCTTTGCCTCATATTTAGATCTTTTTTGTGTGAACAAGTATTTCAAACTTTTGTGATCAGTAAAAATCTCACAAGGTTCCCCATATAAATAATGTCTCCAAATTTTCAGAGCAAAAACCACCGCTGCAAGCTCTAAGTCATGAGTTCGGTAGTTCACTTCATAAGGTTTTAGTTGGCGAGAAGCATAAGCCACCACTCTATCATTTTGCATCGACACACAACCCAACCCTTTCTTTAAGGCATCACTGTATATAACAAATCCTCCCATGCTTGAGGGGAGTGCTAATATGGGTGCACTTACTAGACAACTTTTCAAGTCCTCAAAACTTCTTTCACATTCTACTGTCCACTCAAATTTCACAAGCTTCCGTGTCAAGTTAGTTAAGGGAGAAGCAATTTGAGAAAATCGTTCCACAAACCTTCTATATAGCCAGCCAGGCCTGGGAAGCTCCTCACTTCCGTTACATTCGTGGGTCGTGGCCAATTAGACACTGCTTCTACTTTGGCTGGATCAACAGAAATTCCATCTCCAGATATTACATGACCAAGAAAAGATACTCTGTTAAGCCAAAACTCGCACTTACTTAGTTTTGCATATAACTTCTTGTCTTTCAGTGTTTGTAACACTATCCTTAAGTGTTCTACATGGTCTTCTTTTGTTTTAGAGTAAACCAAAATATCATCAATGAGGACTACGACAAATTTATCCAAGAATTGCTTGAATACCCTAGTCATCAAATCCATGAAAGCAACTGGAGCATTCGTTAACCCAAATTAAAAGGCATAACCAAGAACTCATAATGGCCATACCTAGTTCGAAACACAGTCTTAGGTACATCTGCTGCCTTGATTTTCAATTGGTGATAGCCAGACCTCAAGTCAACCTTAGAGAAGTACTTTGCTCCTTGAAATTGGTGAAATAAGTCATCTATGCGAGGTAACGGATATTTGTTCCTCATAGTTACCTTATTCAACTCTCTATAATCGATGCAAAGTCGAAAACACCCATCCATCTTTTTAACAAACAAAATAGGTGCAACCCAAGGTGAGACACTAGGGCGGATAAATTTCAAGTCTAGTAACTCTTGCAATTGTACCTTTAATTCTCGCAACTCTGCTGAAGCCATCCTATATGGAATTTTTGATTTAGGAGTTGTTCCAGGGATCAAATCAATCTCAAACTCTATCTCTCTATCAGGGGGTACTTGCTCAGGAAAAACTTCAGGAAAATCACTAACTGCTGGAATTTCTTCTAATTTCACATCTTTGGTTTGTGCATGAATTACATAAGATATAAACCCTTGGCATCCCTTCCTCAATGATCTTCTTACGCTCATTGCTAAGATGATATGTAGTGGTATCTTAGTGGCTAATACACCTCTCTCTTTACAATTTTGAATGCAAAATTCTTGTTTCCCTGGAATCTGGAATATTACCTTTCCCTTAGAGAAATCAATATAAGCATGGTTCTTTGCTAGCCAATCCATCCCAAGTATGACATCAAAATCATGCATATCCGGCAGAGCTAGATTTGCCACCATTTCTCTCCCTTCAAGCAAAAGAATACAATTTCTAACCGACCTATCCTCAATTTCAATCCTCTCCATAGGCGTGCTAACAAACAAGGGTTCATCTAACTTTTCCGTTATTAGGTTCAAAGATTTCACAAATCTCTTAGAAACAAAGTAATGTGAGGAACCAGAGTCAAACAAGACATAAGCATTTATAGAGTTTAGGGGCAATATATCTGAAACAACATTGTCGGCAAATACGCGAGCATTGGTCCTGGGTTTTTGTTGAGTTGATCTTGCTGCCATATGCATTTTCTTTGGACAATCTTTCACTTTGTGTCCCAATTGACCGCATTCAAAACATGCCCCAGACTTATGGCGACACTCCCCAGTGTGATAAAGATGGCAGAAGATGCATTCCTTGGTCTACACAACATGTCCTTTATTTGTTTTCTTATTTTGTACATTTCCAGTATCCCTTGGCTTTCCATATTGTTGTATGGATTCTCTTGCCTTTTTTTTTTTTTTTTTTTTTTTTGTCATCAAACACTTCTTGATAGTTATGATAAACATTAGATGACATATGATTGCGGATTGTGGACCTCAAACCATTTTCAAACCTATTGGTCTTTGTTTCCTCGTTACTCATATAGATTGGAAAGAACTCTCGTAGTTCTATAGGGCATATTCCAAGACTGTCGTATCACCTTGCACCAAATTTAGGAATTCATTTTCTAACACCCTCCTTACGCTATCTGGAAAATAGTTACGATATAACACCCTCTTGAATTCTTCCCAAGTTATATGATCCCCATCTGGGTATGATGCCCTTGTAACCCCCCACCAATGCTCTGCATTTCCTTGAAGTAATGGTATGGTTACATCTAATTTGATTTCTGGAGTGTACTACATAGCTTCAAACAATTTCTCCACCTCTTTGATCCATCTTTGGTGCTTGATTATTAGTTGCTTGTTGCTGCAAAAGGTTAGCTAACAGTTGAAAGGTGCCCACAATGTCAACTTGTGTAGTTGTTTTGAGGCGCAGCTTGAGGGGAAACTTGAGGTTGAGGAATACCTAAAGGTGGGACTTCATCAACAGATAGATTTCGAATCCCTTGAACTAGCCTAGTAACTCGACCACCTCTCGATTGCCTCGCTTGCCTTCCTCTTCCCCTGCCCGAGGTTCCTCCTCGACCTCTATCCGTGAATTGATTAACTTGCTGAAAGACATACAAACAATGAAATATGACAAAAACAATACTAACAACCATTCACAACATCAAATACCTCAGGTTTACAACCGATCCACACATTCTAGATTAGAACATACATTTGTTTACAAGCCTATATTTTTTTAAGGAGTCAACCTATGCTTAGATAGACAATCAATTCCAAACCTAGGCTCTGATACCAACTCTGTCACGCCCCAAAAATGAGCGTAACCCGACCGTATTACTACGACAAAAATATCATTATAATACGAAGCCTGCTAAACAAAATATCTACCACAAGATAACCTAAACAACTTCTTGGTCTTAAAGTTCCTACTCCCAAAGATAGCTTAATTGGAAGTATATTATATACATTTAAGTTTCTAGACATAGTCCAAATTTACAACATGGGAATCCCAGGTCCTACTATGGACTTTGATCTCCACAAAGGACTAGAAGGAGTCTCCCTCTATCACAAAACACTAGACTAATACCCTAGAGTCTTTAATCCCAAAATGTGACATCCCTTGGCTTAACATCGATCAACACTCTAATCTGAAAACATGAAACACACGAGTGAGCACAAAGCTTGGTACATCATATAACACTTCTCTACCAAATCAAGTATTGAGAATAAGGAGGACCACAAATAAATAAGGTAACATAAGATGTTAAAAAAAAGTATAATAAAAGTGTTAGTATTCTTACACAATTATATATCACATACGAGTATCAATAGTGCAAGATTTTCCTTCAAGTCATGAATCATAGATCGGTGCTCGAATAACATAAGTAAATAAATAAAGATATCACATACCTAGCTCACCATTTTACTTTGAGAACTATAATATACACATAGTACAAGCCAAGATCAATTAAGCAAATTACACTAGTCAAGGGTAGCAAAGCTACCAATTAAAATCAAGTGAATGTTCCAAATCAAGGGTGGTGAGACCACCCATTGAGAATCAAGGGAACATTCCAAGTCAAGACAAGGGTGGTTAGACCACCAATATGATTAATACCTTTGAAGATATATATATACCTATGGTCAACAATAAAACATACATCAAATTCCCAAATTTTCATTACATATGTACTCAATACTTTATCATACAAATCATGCCCATATTCAAGAATAGCTTCAATATTTTGCAATCACTTAAGCTATGGTATATAAGTTACAATGAGTAAGTAAGTGCTAAGTTTCCTTACCTTAGTATGCTTTTAAGCAAGAAATTCCTTTATGTCCTAACCTTCACTGTCACCTATCAAATACATACACCATTATAACTTATGAACATTCCAAATATTTACAAATTCTTCTTGTAAATGTATAAACAATCATGTTTTCCCCACACCAAGCAACAACCCAAAAATATAAATAAATGAGCATGAGACCTCTATTACTCTCCTTGAAACAAGTACGGTCAAAAATTTAATAAAGAAAATGTAGCTCAATAGGGAGAAAAATCAGCCGCAACCTGGGTAATAAATCATAGATTTGCAAGGAAAATAAAATAATAAAATAGCACATAACTCTACTAAAGCCATCCCAAAACACTCACTTTAAAAACAACCCTGGGCAATTTCAATTCTTCACTAGAATTCCCATTCTTGAGCTTCGAAATATGATAAAGATTAACAGGGAAGCTAAAGTGTTTAATCTCTTCTTTTAACAACCAAAAACTAAATTAATTACATTGTCTTTTTTATTTTGAGCACAAAGACAAAACCTATTGCTTGCTTCCTCTTGCTACGCCGAAGGCAGAATGTGTGCCTCTTCTCCCCCCCCCCCCCCCCCCCCCCTTTCTTCTCTACTAAGTTTCAAGAATATAATGTGATCATCCTCCCCAATCGTTATACCCTGCACCACGGCACACATAGCACTGTGCGCCCCGCGCCTCCCAAAACGACGTTGTTTTGGTAAGTTATGTAGGGAGTTAACGTGATTATGTGTATTTGTTTATACAATTATGTGTATTTGTTTATACAATTATGTAAATTTTTTATACAATCATGTACATCTTTTTTATACAATTATGTACATCCGAAATAAGAAATTTATGTGTATTATGTTAAAAGTTTATGTATATTATGTATTATGTTAGATTATATGTATTATCTATAAAAAAAGTATGTGTATTTTGTTATACAATTATGTACATTCATGTATACAATTATCTGTATTCTAGTATAAAATTATGTACATTTTTGAACATGAGAATTTTTTTTAAAAAGAAAATTAACCGCCAACACAGGATAGCGGAGCTTTAAAAAAAAAATCTGAAACGTCGTCATTTTGCATCAGGGTGCACAATTCAATGTGCGCTCTGGTGCAAGATATAAATTGTCATCCTCCCCTTAATCGACTTCTCAAGCTTAAAATATACAATTATTATTGGGCCCAAGGATAGACTAAGCCCAAATAAAAACTTAACCATCTAAATTATAATTTGGGCCTAGAAAGAATAAGACCTAATATATCTAGTTAGATTATTATTACTATTATTTTGAAAATTGAAAATTTTTCATTACAAAAACAAATGAAAATATAGTAAATATTATTTGTAATCTAGCTAACAATTAATTAACAACAAAGTAATAAGTAAACATTATTGCATTTTACCTTTACATGCTTAAAGTAGAAAAGATTTTTTGCTCTTTGTACTTGTTGATTCATATATGATCGGAATGCCCTATCATTAATGTAATAAACACAATTTATAAATTATAATACATTATATAAATAAATTTATATATAGATATACTTTTACTTACATATTCACCGCAAGCTTGAGTTCTATATTCCGGTCACATTTTATAGGATCAAAGACATATACTATTCTCGAACATACATTAATCACTAGAAGCAACCAATGGTCTCTACAATTTATAAACACATACATTGCAAATTCAATGAGTAATAATTCAAATTCACTTATATTAACAAGTAAGAAGAATTGATTACATACGATTGATGGTACGGTGCTAAAATTAATGTCTTGTCCTTCGATGTGACCATAGCATTTGCAATATATGCAGTGACAATATTAAAATTGAAATCAAGAGTGGCCTTTGCTATCTGTGTTGGACACACAAATCCAACTGAGTCAGTCCCAAATTGATTGCTGTGAAGATACCTGAAAAATTATTAAGTAATACATTAATAATTAATTAACATTTTCAAATTAATAAATATACAAACTTACATTATAAAGACTTGTATAATGGATACATCAAGCCATTTCATAGTTAACAAGTCCTTAATATTATCCATCATCACAAAAATACTTCTCACGTTGGTATGGTGAAAGACATTAGAATCTAATTCCAATTCAAAGTAGTCAGTATCAATAGACATTGATAGAAGCACATTGTGCACCCGGTTGCACTCAACCCCAAAGGCTGTAAGGTATCATCATAAACCAAATTGGCTCGTCTAGTACTCGATTCCTCACCACAGTCATACCTGTTTTAACTTTTGGCTTCATCACTATCTCTTCCTGTGAATAGAGGAACTTTTAATCATGATAACATATACAAATAATAAGAATTCAATAAATTATACAACAAAACAAGTTCATACCTCTCCTATACCAACTAAATGTATAGGCCACTGTACAAAACTTCCAATGACATCTCCAAAATGTGTATAATGTTGAGTGGGCACTGGTAGAAGAAATGTCTCTCCCCCCTCAACAATCACATGATCCACGGACACCTTGACATGATTTGGTAATACTAATTGGTTATGCACTACGGGTCAAATTGAGTTGGGCGAAAAATTCCTCTTGCAACTACTTTTATGGTATCCTCACCCGTACATAAGGCAAGCCGACATGGAGTCGGACTCTATCATTTAACAGAAGACAATAAAATAAATAAAACATGTCAAATTAATACGATTTTTTAGATTATAAGCGTTTAATATTACCTCAATCAGGGTAAATGGATATGGATCCACCGACTGGCAACTACTATGAACAACTAGTGGATCCCATAGAAGCTCCAACATTTACAAGACACTCTTGGGGAATTTTTTTTCTCAAGTCCTGAAGTTGATCGTATCGGCTGTCAATCTTAGGTTGCATTGCCGAAAATGTTTCTTGCCTTACTTTTTCAACCAAAGCTTCTACATCATCTATCGGAAGAACTCCCCTCGATCTTTCCTTACTCTTAACTGGCTTTCCAAACACTTTCTTCACAGCCACATATGAACCAACGCCTCTAACTGAACCTGAATGATCTTTCTTACCAAGGGATTCTTACAATACATCATGATGTCTAGAAGGCTTAAATAAACCTTGGTTAACTTCTTCACACTTCTCCACATATTTGAGTAAATAATTAAACAAAATATTAGCATTAACTTTAATATCAAATTATTAACATAAATTATTCTTATTTGTAAAAACTTGAAATATATATAAACGTTGCACTCGGTAATGTTGAAACTGACGTTGTGACACAATTAATTTATAACGCAGTTCGGGCAAAGAACCCTAATCTGCGAGGCACTTCTCAAGTTGAGAATTTGCCTAAATCCACTAAAATCTCAACATTCAAAGTACACTTAGTTTGGGGAACGAGGATTACACAATATGATTTCCTATCAGACTATTGTGACCTAAACGCTTGTACTACTTTTCAAGGGGATTTGGGTAACTATTCTCAATGACTCTCGTGTCTCACAATTAGATCTTGAAAGCTTATCCTGAAGAGTTGTGGAGCTGCTTCTTTAATAGGCGAAGAGTTATAGGATGGATAGGAATTGGGTTGCTATTCCTATTTAAATTAGGAATATAATTCCTAATTCTTGCTTGACTTAGTATTCCCTTTTTGCCTTGAATTTGACAAATCATCTCAAGTCAACATTCTCCCCCTTTGTCAAATTTTTAGCAAAAACCTTGATTCATCATGGTTCTTCTCAAGGATTGACACATGTAGTTGTCTCCCCCTTAATTTGTGGATCTCCCCCTTAATTTGTGGAGCCTTACTTGATTGTTGCTTTGTTGGCTCTGGGTAATAATTTGCTCTTGTCTTCAAGGTTATACAAGGGTTGGGTTGGAAACTATTCTAGTGTGCATCATAGACCTAATGGTTATTTGTAACACCCCGTGTTACGGACCCTAAAACCATTTAATTAATTAATCAATAGCCCAAGAGAAAGAATAAATCATAATGATTAATTAGGGAAAAAGGCCCACCATAGTCCATGGGCCCTCATATATAAACCCAACCCCTAAACCCAATCCTTAGTTCCAAAAGGAATAGAATTAGCAAGCCTATAATATTAGTTCCTAATTAGGACTCCTAAATATATAAATAGGGGACTTAGGAGGCACCTAGAACTTCCCACAAAAATAACGCCCCACCACCCCAAAAGAGCTCCAAGAATCCCCTTAGGAGAAATCAAGAAAGCAAGGAAGCTTAAAGAAAGATCCTTCATAGCCAAGGAATTAATTAAGGCTAAGAGGTAACCCATGTCTCAACAAAACCTATTTTCATAGCTATGATTCCCCCTTAGGGTTTCCCCCATATTATTGTGATTGGCGAGATATGATGATAATTATTGATGTTTGATGTGATGATCTCATGAGGGATCTTGATAATCTTGATATTGGGAGATTCTTGATAATTATGGTGTTCTTGGTAATTATATGGAGTTCTTGATGATTATGCGTTGTTCTTGATAATTATGTGATAATCTTGATGTTTATGTGTTATTCTTACCGAATCTTGCAATTAGAAGACGAACCGTATTCTTGTTGATATAAAAGTGATTAGAACCCTAGGTTGTATCGTATGATCTTATTCTTGGATTATCGGGTGGGGAAATCGCATGTTTGGGTGTTGATTATATTTAGAAAAGCATGATAGGTTATGTGTCATTCGTTTCTCGTAATTGATCCGTTAATTGTCTACGTGTTGTCGTTAATTGCGTTGTAAAGCGTCTAAGCATGGTTTCGAGTTCCACAACGGTTCCCGGGGCGCAATTGATGAAAAAGAGTCAGTGGGGGGTAGGGGACCCGCCACCTACCCGGTGCCGAGAATCACCGCCTGGCAGCGGGTGGCCGGCGGGCGGGCAGCTGCCCGCCGGCGACCCGCTGCCCGGAACAGTAAAACCGGCGGGCAGCCGGCGGGTGGCCCCCCCACCCACCGGCTACCCACTGGAAATTCCCCCAACTTGGGATCCCGGCTTCCCCGTTTGATGTTCTCCGTTCCCCGTGGTGTCCCAACGGACTCCGTTTATCGTGCCTATGTCTAGTTTGATGTTTCAGGTACCGTTCGTAGGTTTCTGAGTCTATTATATTGCATGCTAGTTGAATTGGTATCCCGTTGACCTAGGTGGAAGAAGTATGAACCCCTTAGGACTATCCTTAGTAAGTGATGGATCACGCATAGGTTTTGTTATACGTTTTCTCCCCCTTCCTAATGTGTAATGTGGGTTGCATGTGCTTGCTATGTGTTATGTGTGTGTTACCCCAATTCGGTTGCGATCGGATTGGTTATCCTGAGCTGCGGTTCAGAAGCTGGCTACGGTCAGATTGATACTCTTGGGTTGCTGTCCACCGTTTGGTTGCGATCAAACGTTTCTATACGAGCTGCGGTTCGTCCTTTTTCCTGGCTGCGGTCAGATGACATTCTCTAGGGTTGCGGTCCACTGTTTGGTTGCGATCAAACACTATGATGAGCTGCGGTTCATCGGTCGGTTGCGATCGACCCCTCCGTGTTGCGATACGGGGCAGGGTGCTGCGGGGCCGTGTCAGAGCTATATGCGCTGACCCTCATGTATGGGCATGCGATTGGTCCTGTGGCGCCAACAAAGTGTGTTGTGTGTTGTGACATGGACGGGTTGTGATTACGAGTGTCTTGGGGGATGTGACTATGGGGTTTATATTGGGGATTGTTCATGTTGGGTTATGATCATTGTTTATGCTTTGCCTTATCTGCCTTATCTGTTGTAAACTGCATATGCTCGTTATAACTGTTGCTTGTGTCTGACCTTATCTGTCGAGTCATTCCCGGTTTCAAAGCTAGAGTTCGTAGGATATATCTTCATGCTCAAAATGGTTTTCGTATATCTATATATATCTCTATATGTACTGTATTTCAACGCGTTGGAGTGGGTTACCAGCATCTCTCGCTGAACAGATATATTTGGCTTTCAGGCACAGAGGACTAGAGCACTGGAGCGCGCTAGAACTGGAGCGTAGAAGAAGAGTAGTTTCCCTTTCGGCCTGCGTGCCATATTATGCATTGTGTTTCAATGGATATTAGTTAGACAGCCTGTGCACCTGGGTTCTCTAGCCCAGGTGTGGCATAGCACCCCGTACACTTATGATATACTTTGGGATGTAATGAGATATTACCTTTATTATATAAGCTTAAAATGTCTTGAAAATCTGGGGTGTTACAGTTGGTATCAGAGCCTAAGTTTGACCCTAGGAAAAGACTCTTAAGACCGGACTTTAGAACGTTAGGCTTGAACTCTAAGTACCTAGGAACATAGGACTCAGGAATCTTAGGACGCGCGGTGAGATTGTGAAACCTACACATAACTTCCCTACACGTTGCCCTTCCCCATTCTAAAACCCTTCCCCACTTATCACTTCACCAGAAGTGCATCTAACTCTAACTTAACATTCTTATAAACACTGACCAGAAGGACGATAGCATGGCACCGAACAGAAGACAATCAAGGACTCCGGAACCCGCCACTAATGACCCCTTGACCCAAACTCTACAGCAACTAACACAGGTCGCACAGGCACTAAGTGACGCGGCCCTTCGCAACAACAGGCCCCCACCGCCTCCATCAAACGCAAACTCGGACGTCGCCCGACAAGTCTCAAATCACCGACCACCCACGTTTTCGGGAGAAGAGGATCCCGCGGTCCTAGAAGAATGGATCCGGACGCTTGATAAGATTTTTGGAGTAGTGGAATGCCCAGAGGAACGCCGCGTAGAGATAGCCTCGTTCTACTTCGGGCACGAGGCCGACCTCTGGTGGATCCACGAGGGACCCACCTATCAACAAGAACCAGGGTTCAATTGGGAGGACCTCAAGACACGACTACGAGAGAGATTCTATCCAACCCACGTGAAGGCATCCATGTACGAAGAGTTCCTTCATCTAAAACAAGGAACGGCCACCGTCGTAGAATACCATAAACGATTCCTCGAGCTGGCACGCTTCGCGCCAGAGCTAGTCCCCACCAAGGTAACCAAGATAGAGAGATTCGTGTCGGGCCTCAACTTCGAAGCTCCAAAGGCGCTGGTGGTAAGCAGACCTCGGACCCTCAACGAGGCTTACTCCAGTGCCGCGAATCTCTATCGGATCCAACTACTCCAACGCGGAGTTCAGGAACAAATACGAAGAAGAAACACCGGAAGTGGGGCACCGCCAGTGAAAAGAACGAGAAATGACACCGGCACAAGGACGAACAACCCGCCCAACCAAAGACCGACCCTGGGAAACAACGAAGCTAATCCAAGAAGCTTCCCTTGCCCGAGATGCAACAAAAGCCATAGGGGCAAGGATTGCGCAGGCAACCCCTGGCGATGCTTCAATTGCGGAGAGGAAGGACACAAGGACTTCCAGTGCACTCGACCCCAAAGACCACGCCCCACCACCGTGGGTCAACACGGGGGCACCGGTCATCAAGGGAGTTACGGCGCTCCCGGGAAGGTATTTGTCATGAGCCACACTCATGCCAACCTCGGGAACGAGGAGGACCTCGGGGAGGAAA